GTGTATATACTTTATACTGCATAATATTTAGTATAGTAATAGGCTATTACTATTATACTACCGGTATACAGATATTACCATACTAATATTAGTAATAAATTTGCCCTTTTTTTATAATTGATAGTGAAAAAAATTCGATAATAACTCATGACGGTTCAGTATACTAATAGTAATATTAATATTAATAATAATAATAATAATGAAGTTCATTTCAAAAACACGCTTCATCCCCAAAGGCTCGAAGCGCGGTACAATGTCAACAAAATACAAATCTATAATTTACCACATTTAAAACAAACGCAACACTACAATAACTAATTACAAGCATACAATTGCAAAGTCTTTCTAGCCATTTCAACCCCAATATTAATAGCCTACATCCAACAATAATTTTTCACCAGTCTAGATCTAATGCATAATTATATGATTATTCGCAGATTTCGGTCTGCCGATAACGCTAAACATTATTCACAGAGCTGTGTGGATAACGCTCGCCGTTATTCACAGATTTCGGTCTGCCGATAACACTAAACGTTATTCACAGAGCTGTGTGAATAACGCTTCCCTTAATTCTATGCACCGCTAACTATTTTCAAAACTATTGTTTAATGTCTTCTTGACTAAACGAAAATAAAGTAGTAAAAATAGTATAGTACAGCAAGATGGCAGCGTTCATGCAAAATTTCCCAGCCTTTCCGCAAGATCCCAATCTTCCGTTGTCCGCTGCAGCATCAGCTGCTGATAGAGCGCAACGATCCGTATTTGGTAAATTACCAAAGATTTGGGCCACTTGTTTTAATTTGAGTGTACATTTTAAAAAGTGTTTACTAATTAGAATTAGGCACTTCGTTAAGGCAAGAAGGGAGACTAACTCTAATAAATTTGTTTGATATTGACTATAGAATGGGAATTGGTGCAGAAGAATCCTGATTTTAACATTTTTGGACCTTGATGCTTTTTCAGTGATGAAAGCAATGAAAGGACCATTTTGTCAAAAATTGTGATTGTGGTATTCATTCACACTTTTACAGTAGTGGACATCTTGACCTACCTTTCCGTAATTTGTTGTCTTTTCAATCGATCCCAATATTTGAAATTCATAGTAGATACTTTGGTCAAAAATGTTAACATTTTTTAAAAATAAACCAATGGTACAGTTGAATAGAGCTAATTTTAAACAGAATTACAACACCAAAATCATATTTTTAGCTGTTGTAGTTTTAAAGTTATGAATTTTTAAAGTACGACTTGGTTTGTCATTTTTTAACATGGACTTCATCTCCACATTCTGTGACCTCATTCCACTGATCGCGTCATGCGCAATGACTATATAGTTTATATAAGGCAACGCATTCCCTATCACTAAAATACTGTTTAGGGTCGACTTATTTTAAACTTTCAACTTTGGCACATGAATAATTAATAAAAGCTTTCCCTGACCAATGGTTTAATAGCTTTTGCACACGGCAAACTCTTATGAATGAAACTCTGAGATAGTACTACGACGTAGCCGTTATGCAAGTGGCTGTGAATGGTTGCCAATGACAACGTGTTGCACAGGGAAAATTCTGATCATTTATAATATGGACTCTGCAGGGTTTTTAAAGCTCAAATTAAAACATTTCCAGTTTAAATGTCTTCAAAATGCATTCTGAAACACAAAATATAAAATATTTTGATGTATATAGTGGTAATAATTAAATATTTCCTAAGTATCGGCAACTTCCGCCATTAAAAAGGGGGCGTGGCCCACGCCATGTCGAAATTAGGCTGAGCCACTTTATGGTGATATGGGTCACTGTGACAAGTGTAACAAACGTGAGACACGACCTACATCAATGAAACTTGGCACAGATATAGATCAATATCTAATGCTCATACAGATTTAATCAAAAAGGACCTTATCTTATTATTTCACAAAAAATTTTGTATGCGAAGATGCCTTATATATACCAAAGATTTTCAAAATAAAGGTCGATTGAAAAAAGCAAAATAGCTGGCTAGAAATGTAGGCCAAGATGTCTTCCAAATTATAAGGCCGGAAACGGAACTCAAATATATGTGGAAAGAACTAATTTAATAATAAATAGACACACACATCGGAAAATTAAAAACTCGGATTTTTCGGCGCCGACAGCCATTTCCGATACAAAAAAAAATAGTAGTCTCCCTTGTTTCATCGAAGTATCTATTCATAGGTATATTTTAGATACTTCAGTAAAAAATTCAAAATAATTTTTTTAATATTACTGTTATTTAGAGCAAATTTCAATTTAAAAAATAAAACCAGAATGAACCTTTTTTTTTTTAGCTTATTAGTACTTTTTGAGCTACGAATTTTAAAATGCGACTTCGTTTGGTATTTTCTTCTATGGACGAAACCTCCACATCTTGTGACCTCATTCTGCTGATTGCGTCATGCGCAATGACTATATAATAGTTTATATAAGGCAACGCATCCCATTAAATGCCATTATTACTAAAAATTTTACAAATACTGTTTAGGGACTATTTATTTTGAACTTTCAACTCTGGCACATGGCTAATTAATTAAAACTTTCGCTGACCAATGGTTTAATAGTTTTGCAAACTTTTACGAATGAAACTCTCAGATAGTATGGTATAGCCATTATGCAAGTGACTGTGAATGGCTGCCCATGGCCATGACATTTTGCACACAGAAAATTATGATCATTTATAATATGAAGAGTCGATTTTCAAAACGGGGTATGCCATTTTCGAAAAAAATGAGATAACTGTATATTCTTGTAGAGCAAGCCAGGTTGCTTTAGGAGATGTTAAAGTTTATCAACATAACACATTTTAATCCTATTTTATTCTATATCTAAAAATGATTTTATTTTCAAAACGCGGTGTGAATTTTTTTTTAAATTATCAAACTGCTGTATATATTTTCGGACCAATCCGTGTGATTGGGAAGCTATTCTGTGCATGCGCACTAAACATCACGACGCGAAACAACAACAAACATGGTGCATAACAACGGCCTGGATGAAAGAGTTGTTTGTACTATAAAATCTTGAAAAAGAAAGAAAAAAAGCTCAACAAGCGAAAAAGAAAAATCATTTCTTCATTCAAGCGGAGGAAAGATCCCCTCCGTTACGTGTAATCACGATTAATGGTTCTGCAAGGTGAGTTACCGGTAACTTTATTTAAAAATATACTAAATTTAATTTTACTTTTACATTATTATTATTATTGTTATGGTTACTACACATCAGAAGTGTTATGGAAATGAAAATAAAATTTGCTTTACAGAGTTAGCTGTGTTATTTAAAACACATTCAATCTTTTACATGCAGATCCAGCCATTACAGAAGAAAGGGTGCTCAAGGACAGAAATATTTGCCCTCTGATTTGAATGTAAATAAGAAGCATCAAATTTTCCTGGAACAAAACCAAACTGCTATTGAAGATGATGCACACTCTGAATCAGACATTTAATTATTGTCTATTTTGTCTTACTTCTAAATTCAAATAAAATGATTTTTGAATTGAACATTATCTTGTTTACCGGTACTTTTGCTTAGAATTCAGATTTATAAAAACAAATCATGCAAATTTATAGCACTCTAAACATTACACTATTAATTACAAGCGACTTCCCAGCATTTATAGTACTGTTCTGTTAAAATATATCAATAAAAAACATTAATCATACAAAATTATATAATGTATATGATACAATTTAATTTTTTTTTGTTATGTAAGTGGTTTGTAAGCTATAAAAACTTGAATTATTTGCTACTGGGAATAATGTTATGCTATCAAAATGGATATACACAACATTTTGTCGCTAAGTTACAGCTGGATGCACAGCTTTTTGAAACAAAATAAGAAATTCAACCAAGTAAATAAATACATTTTAATTAACCTACATTTCAATTTTCATCATAGTCTAACTTATATTTTGAATATATACCCAAATTAACATTTACTTTTCCGAAAATTTGATCCATCATTGTGTAGCAGAAAAAGTCGATTATCTCAAAACGCCAAAAATGGAGATACAGAATTTTGAAAATCGACTCTTCATATGAACTCTACTGGGTTTTTTAACCTCAAATTAAAATATTATTCTTTTAATAAAATTATGTTCACTCTAAAACATAAGTTATCAAATAATATTATGTAAATAGTGGTAACAATTAAATATTTCTAAAGAATTGACATCTTCCGCCACTAAAAAGGGGGCATGGCCCAAGCCATGTCGAAATTAAGCTGATCGATCATCTGGGACAAGCATTGCGATTGTCAGACATGACCTAAATCAATGAAAACGGGCACACGTATACATCAATATATAATGGTTTTCCCGATTTCATATGAAAGACCTAGTCTTTAAATTTCTTTAAAAATTGTTAAGGGAAAGATGCCTTATATATACCTATGAATTTCTAAAACTAAGGTCGATCAAAAAAGGCAAAATAGTATGTTGGAATGTAGGTTAAGATGTCCCCTAATGTGAACATGTGGAAGGATACCACAATTTTATGACAAAATAGTCCTTTTATTAATGGAAAATCCCCAACGTCCAATAATTATAGACTTGGATTGTTCTGCGCCGACGCCCATTTCCCATACAAATTTTGAAGTAGTCTCCCTTGCTTTACAGAAGTACCTATTATAGTTATATAAGTATAAGGCATCTTTCCCAACAAAACTTCGTAAGAAATTCAAATATTCTTTAATATTCTTTAAATCTTCCTATATTGATGTATACTTGCCAATTCTCTTTGAACCGGGCCATGTCAGCTATTAGTTATGCTCATCTAAATCTAAGTAACCTTCATTACCATAACTTATAGGTCACCCTGCCTCATTTTGACCACACCCCCATTTTAATGGCGGAAGATGCCAAGACTTTTAAAATATTCAATTATTACCACTATTCATCAAAATATTTGATAACTTGTATTTTAGAGTGAAATTAGAAGACATTTAAACAAGAATTTTTTTAATTGAGGTTTAAAAACTCTGTGTAATCCATATTATAAATTATAAATTGCTGTGTTCAAAACGTAATAGGCAACCTTGGACAGTCACTATCATGTACTACAGTAATATACTACTATAGTTTTATTCTATTTTAACCCAAACATTTCTTAACTTTACTAATGTAAAAGATATAAAAATTGACGGTAGCTCTTTAAAATGGTGTATCTTTTATGGCATTCAGACACTATTTAAATTTCAGTGAAAGTTTCAAGTCAAACTACCTTGTCCTAACTGACCTTAGCTAGGGGCCATGCATAACTGATGTCACACTATTTTGGATTTTTTTTTTTTATTAACACCCGCCACCCTCCAATTTGTCACAAATTTGTAACACAAAAAGGACACATTTATCACACATTTTAAAGTTCTGTTTAAAATATAAAATGCTACAGTTGAATAGTTTAAAAAAGCACCAAGATGAACTTTCTAGCTCAAGCAGTTCAAAAGTTAGGAATTATTTTAAATTGTGTTTCCTTTTTATAGGCGGTGTGAGACCTAGTTGAACAATTGGTAGGTGGGTGCGAAGCTAGTTAAATAATTTGTATGGGGTGGAGAAAAGGTTGGGGAAAACTGCACCAATTAATAATTTATTAGTTTGATTAATATTTGTATTCAAGGCTCCCATGTAGAAACTTCAATTTTCTATATCTGGGATGAAAAAGGATATTGTGAGCTAGAAATAGCTCTACTTATCCAGAAATTTGGATAAAAGTTTGATATAAAAAAACTTCATGTTGTAAAAGCTTATCATTCTTGAGACTTAGTTTCTGAAACACTTAATAAATTTCGATTTATTGAAAAGATTTTGTAATATATGCAAGCTAAGCATACCTATTTAATGCAAACAATTTTCATCCTTTAGTTGGAAATATTCCATACGATGCTACAGAAGAACAATTGAGAGAAGTTTTCATTCAAGCAGGACCAGTTGTTAGCTTTAGGTAATTATTTTTGTTTTACTTGTAGTTTTAAGTATATTTTTTGCATATGAACGGAAAGGAAGACCCTAACCTGAATCTATTTTTTGCAGGCTTGTATATGATAGAGAAACAGGAAAACCTAAAGGTTATGGGTTTTGTGAATATCAAGATGTGGAAACAGCACAGAGTGCCATGCGAAACCTCAACAACTATGATTTCAATGGCAGACCTCTGCGTGTTGGTGTTGCTGCCGGAGAGCAGAGTAAAGATGAGGGGAAAGCAATGCAACAGGCTTTGGGTGGACAAATAGTTGAGGTAAATATACAAAATGACTAGCACATTTTTTCAAAATAATGTGAGTGATGTTTAACATGTTATTGGGAAAAATTAACATTCATATTGGCATTAAGATCTCTAATATCAGTCTGATTAAAAAATCTAATGAAAACCAAATGTTAAATCAAAACATGAGTAAGGTAATTGAAAAATAAAATCTTTCAGATGGTAATTAAAGTTTTAAATATTTCATTTGGGGGCATTTAGTTTTTAAATGACGCTTTTAATCTAATGTAACAGCAATGTATTTGTGTTGTTTAAATTACTGATTGTGGATTTTTTTGTTATCCAGTCTCCTTATGGTGAACCGGTGGAACCAGAAAAGGCACCAGAGGCCATCTCTAAAGCTGTCGCTAGCCTTCCACCTGAGCAAATGTTTGAACTTATGAAACAAATGAAGGTAATTTTACTTAAAGTGAATTGTTTTATTTGATTGCTCTTGTTATGCACAACAATTGCCATACGATTAAAAAATATATATGCAAAGACTGAGGAAGACCTACAAAGTTTTCATCCAGGCTGAAGGGCATGTGCTCACATCGCAGCAGAAGAATGACGATGATTTTTAGCTCAATTTTTTTTATAATATTTGTATGGCTGACTATACAGTGTCCTTTTTTCTTTTCTTTTTTTGAATCCCAATTAGTTTTTAGCAGCTTTACAAAATATTTTTAATTGATTATGTTATAATTGCTTATTTTCAAAGTGTATACTACCCTTCGCTCTCATTTAACACCTTTATAAATTCTTAACAGCTTTGCATTCAAAACAACCCTAATGAGGCAAGAAATATGTTGCTTCAGAACCCACAGCTTGCTTATGCCCTTTTGCAAGCACAGATAGTGATGAAAATTGTAGACCCACAAGTAGCGATGGTATGACGATTAATATCATAATCTATTAAATTTTAAAAAATATTTTTTATAAATATTATGGTAAAGACAGTAAACTGCATCAAGCAAATTTTCCATCTTGCCTTTAAAAGCCAAAATAAGAAATGGCTGAATTGAAAACTATTGCCTTAAACTTTTGGCAAATCTAAGAATATTATTGAAAGGGTGCTTTGATAAATTTCCACATATAGTATTGAAATGTATTGCGATGTAATGTATTTTTAGTCCTTGCTGACCTTAAAAACCTTTATTATGTTTTAGTCTATGTTGTATCGTGATGAAACTCAGCCCCAAATAAATGTTAGTATGCCAAGCAATCAAACAAAGGTAAGAAAGCCAACTAACTGTTCAATTTCTCCTACAATGTTTGAATTTATTTTAAAGATAGTAATTCACAATTGGGGTATGCTAATAATGCTATACTGTAATCATAATAGTTTTATTTATATTTTGTTTAAAAACAATGTTGCTTCCGATTTCCAAATATAATTATATCTTCCAGCCAATGGGAGTTCCTGTGAATAATATGATGGGATCTAGAGGACCACAAGGTATAGTAACTAATTAGTTGGATCATTTTATGCATGTCTCTTGACATTTTGGCTGAAAATAACTTTTAGGAAGAGTGCTTATGAAGACTTAAATTTCAGAAATATTTTTCCAAAAACAAATCTAGAAATTAGAAAAGAAGAGCTAATTAGAAAAGAAGAGGTTATTCCTGGACAATGGGAAATAACTATGACTCTCAGTTTTTTAAGCCACTAAATATTAATTAATTCTAACAAATTAAGGACAGATGCATCCAGAAATTGGATTAGGTTTAAGAAACATATAACATTAACAGCCAAAAAATAATAAACAACAACTAAAAAAAATAGATTTTTTTGCACCTTGGACCATAACATTCTAGATATAGGATGAACCGTACTAATAATAAGCCTATAGATTACATACAAAACAAGGTAAAAACTTCTGATTTTTTTAATTGAAATTGCTCAGAATCATACAATCATTAGAAGTGTAAGAGCCATTTGATTTAATTGCTACTTATATTATAAATCAGTCCTTAACTACTGGTATTGTTCCATCATCTTTTAAAGAGGCAATCGTTACTCCACTATTAAAGAAATCAAATCTTGATCCAAATGTGTTGGAAAATTATCGCCCCATCTCAAATCTACCATTTATTTCTAAAATCTTAGAAAAAGTCGTTCTCCGCCAACTCCAGGATCACCTCACTCAGTTTAACTTGTTTGAACCATTCCAGTCAGCATACAGGGTGCATCACTCTACTGAGACAGCCCTGTTGCGCGTCGTAAACGACCTTCTGTCGTCTTGTGATGAGGGCAAGGTATCGATTTTGTCTTTACTCGATTTATCGGCAGCTTTCGATACGCTCGACCACGGCATATTGCTCCAGCGTCTGCAACAAACATTCGGTCTCACTGATACCGTCCTGTGTTGGTTCCGATCGTATCTGACTAATCGGGTGCAGTCAGTTATTTCAAACGGCTTGACTTCGAAGAAATCTAATATCGAATTCGGAGTACCCCAGGGCTCGGTCCTAGGCCCAGTGCTTTTCACGATGTACATTCAGCCACTGGGCGCAGAGATCAGGCAGTTTGACATGTTGTATCACATGTACGCGGACGATACACAACTTCATCAATCCGTGATCCCTTCTCAGTTCCCTCAGCTGCTCAGTATGACACAGAAGACAATGGAGTCGGTTAAGCACTGGATGACGATAAACAAGCTCAAATTAAATGATGATAAGACTGAGCTGCTCCCCATCGCGACCGCTCAGAAGCAAAAATCTGCAAATAACACTACATCCATTACTCTCTCAGGTGTGCGTATTGAGTTAGCTCAAACAGTGCGGTACCTGGGTGTCTACCTAGATGGAAGACTAACTTTTGAAAGTCATATTAACATGCTATGCAAGGCGATTTTTCTAGAGCTGCGCAGGATTAGTCACATCAGGCCCTTCCTAACAATTGATGCAACAAAGAGGCTGATGTCTGCATTTGTGCTATCACGCATGGACTATTGCAATGCTCTTATGGTGGGTCTTCCAGCTACGCTCCTGGATAAAATTCAAATAGCACAGAATAATGCGGCTCGCATTGTTCTCCGCAAACGCAAGTTTGACCATGCAAAAACACTTCTGAGAGAGCTGCACTGGCTGCCAGTGCGTGCTCGCATGGAGTACAAAATCGCAACTTTGTGCTACCGCTGCTTACATGACCTGGCGCCGTCCTATCTGAAAGAGCTGCTGACGCCTTATGTACCCACTAGAGAGCTCCGCTCATCCGATAGTGGCAAACTCTCGACACCACGTGTTTGCCTTGAGACTTACGGAAAGCGCACTTTCGCATTTGCTGGTCCAATAATTTGGAATGCCCTTCCTGTCGATCTCAGAAACAACCAGACACTGGAGTCCTTTAAAACCGATTTAAAGACACATCTATTTCGCAAACACCTTCTGGGATGATTGTCAACATTATTTTCCAGTTAATGCATAATGGCTGTGTTGCTTATGGTTGAAATGGCTAGAAAGACTTTGCCATTGTATGCTTGTACTTAGTTTTTGTCGTGTTGCGTTTGTTTTAAATGTGGTAAACTATAGATTTGTTTTTTTTTGGACTTTGTACCGCGCTTCGAGCCTTTGGGGATGAAGCGTGTTTTTGAAATGAACTTTATTATTATAATTATTATTATTATTACTTTCAAGTAAAAATCACAGAGGAGTGTCATGGAGCATTAGGCCACATTTGTCTGGACAAAAACACACACACACACCTCCCCCCTCCCCCCTCCCCCCATGCATTTTTCTGTAGAGAATGAGTAAAAGCTTTAAAATTATCTTGATTGTCACATCATTTTTTATGCATCTTTCAGCTATGCCTGGTCCCATGGGAGCAATGAGTCAAGCTCATACAGGAATGAATGCTGGTCCACTTGCTCCTCCTATTAGGCCAGACATGATGATGATGCGGCCAAATATGCCACAAGGTTTGTTTTTGTTCTAAATAGCAATCCATGTTTTCATATAACCTACCTAGCATTGAATCATGTAAACTAATGTATTTTTATGATGGAGCAACTTGCCCATTTAAGAAAAAAATAATATTGATGTGTTAAGTTGGCCCAGTATTTCAAAGAAATCGTAATAAACCGTAAAATGAGAATGAGTTTGTGATTTTGAGATTTATTGAAGAACTGGAACTAAATTAAATGAGAATATTTCTTGATGATGATATGTCAGGTTTGTCAAAATCTTTTAGGAGACATGGGAGAAGCACGTCGATTTCCTCAGCCTAATAACATGCAAGGTGTAGCTATAGGAGGCAGGATGCAAGGCCCTGCTCCAGGAATGTCAAATCAGAGACCTGTTGCAGCCCAGGTAAATTAAATTAATTAACCACTAAAAACGCCCAATGCTTCATTAATGTTTCTTATATGATATCCCAACATAAGGGGCAAAAGTCTTTTAAAACTGTTATACACATTATTTAACAATTTAAGCTCCTCTGTCCTGACCTAGACTTTGTGCCTAAGAAAAGAGGCATAACTCTGTTTGTTTGCATCTATTTTAACCCTATAATGGCATATCATCTGCCTCTGCCGTTATACCACTTTCTATAATGTTACAGCTGATATAATAATCTGCTGCTAGTTAAATCCTCATTAAAAATGCAAATGATTGAATGTATATTGGTTAAGAGGAAATCACTCTTTATCAATGAGTTTGTATTTGTATTAACGTGCTGTTATCAGGGTGTTTTTTTTTTTATTCATCGGGTGTAAAATTTGCTAAATTTTTTTGACAAGGCCATAATGTCATATTGCAAGTGATATAGAAGAAACTGATCTGGCCAAACTCATCAAAGAGTAAACTGTTTCTGCTTAATCCACAGCCTTCCAATGTCATGCCCAGTGGACCATCCACTGCCAGTAATGTTGGTCCATCCACGAATGGGACATCAAGTATAACAACACAAGACCAAGAGAAAGTGAGTTGTTTCCAAGACTTCACTTTTCATGAAGTGTTTAATAGTGTTATTACACACCAGAACTGCTTTATTTAACATCATAGGACCAGTACTGATGGAAATTATAAACTGAAAAATTAAACTCAAACATACTTTATAACAAATTACCAGTGCTGATTTAATGATGATCCTCCTCCTCCTCATGTCCCTTAGTCCTTGGACCATTGGGGCGCCACAGATGACATGTGAACCATCCTCCTCCATTCCTCTCTGTCTTCAGCACTACGCACTGCAGCGCCCAGTGTTAGTCCTGTCCACTCTTTGATGTTATCCTCCCATCTTTTTCTTTGTCTTCCTCTTCTTCTCCCTCCTCTTGTGGTGCCCTACAATATTTCTTTGGCAAGCCCTTGTTTCCTTGTTACGTGGCCGTACCATTGTAGTTTGCGTTTTTTCAGTCACCAGTAGGTCATCATACTCCCCAATTGCCTGACGAACCCTTTCTTTCTGAAGCATCTCATCTCCATCGCCTTTATTTTCCTTTAAAAATCGGCTGTTAATGTCCAGAATTTGCAGGCATACAGGAAAATGGAGAGGACTAAGAGCCCATCAGCCTGATTTTGGTGCTGGGGGCTATATTTTTGTCATTCCATATTTTCTTGAGCTTCTTTAGTGCTGTTGTAGTCTGTGCAATCCTGGACATCAGTTCGGGCTTGGAGCCTTCTTCTGAGACTATTGCTCCTAGGTATTTGAAGCGGCCAACAGTCTCTAATCTTTCCTCCCCGACTTTAATTTCAGTGGTAATGCCTGCGGTATTTTTTGTCATCAGTTTTGTCTTTTCGGCATTGATTGGCATGCCGTAGGACGACGAGGTCTTATCGAGAAGCTTTACCAGGTCGGCTAGCTCTTCTTCGTTCCCAGCCAGTCCATCTATGTCGTCTGCAAAGCGTAGTTGGGTGATTGTTCTGCCACCTATGCTGACTGTCCCTTCATGCGCTTCCAGAGCATCTGACATAATTCTCTCTAGAAAGATGTTGAATAGGGTGGGGGAGAGCAGGCAGCCTTGTCGTACTCCAACCATGGTCTTGAACAATTCTCGGATGTTTTTGTTGAGGAATACTGCACTGGTGGCCTTATCATAGAGGTTGCATTTCATGCTGGTTAGGTTTGTGTTGATGTTGTAGTGCCTCATAGTGGCCCATAAAGCAGCATGTCAAACCCTGTCAAATGCTTTCTTGAAGTCAACAAAGACGTGGTATAGGTTTTGTTGGTGTTAAGCATATTTCTCACATAGTATTCGGAGGTTAAGAATCTGCTCAGTTGTGCCTCGTCCTTGTCTGAAGGCCGCCTGTTCTTCAGCAATGATTCTGTCGGCATATGGTTTTATTCGGTTCAATATGACCTTCAGCATGACCTTGCTTGGATGGCTTATTAGGCTAATTGTGCGATAGTTTTGGCACAGCTGTAGGTTACCTTTTTTGGGGATGATACTTTTTTCTTTGATGATACATTTAAAAATAAAACCTTTTCCCTATACCTGGAGTGAAAATTCCATCTCATTTTTTGTGTGTCTGACTTGTCAATTTTTGTGTGGGTATAACTATTAGATGTATCTGAATACTTAACTGTAACTCTTTGTGCTCTATTCTCCAGGCTGCCCTTATAATGCAAGTCCTGCAGCTTACAGATGAACAGATTGCACTTCTTCCACCTGAGCAGAGGCAGAGCATTCTTATTCTCAAAGAGCAAATAAAAAGTGGATAATAGTTTTTTTTAAATGATGGGGGAAAATTCATGATTTAACCATACCATATTGTAATTTTTAAGATTGTTGATTTTTTAAAGTAAGAAGTATATAATTTTTATTTTTTTAATTTTTTTTTTTAGAGTAAAGGAAATAGCCATTTAATCTCAACTGATAATCATAATCAAAGCTTAATAACCATATATTTGGATGTTGCATTTTTTGTTTTTGATGTCCTTGGTTTCTATTATTTCTATGGAAAAAAATAAATAGCTTCCAAAAACAAACTTGAATTGAAATGAAATGCTTTGGATTATCATATCTAATGCTTCAGAACTCTTACTAACGACACACGTTTCACCCAGAAAAAAAATGCACCTTGCTTAGAATGAGAAGATTTGCTGGTTAATCTGTATTGTTACCTAAGTTTCAGTGTGTGCTGCCAGTTATTGTGTATCTTAATGAAAGATTGATGTCACCATTATTGGGTAATTAAATGAGTTTTCATTTCAGCAATTAAATGGTTGAAGAAAGAAATTGCTATTCATTTGCCTGCATAAATATTAATACTTATTTCCATTACAATTTTCACGACATGACTGAAATGGTTTTTGAATAAACCAACTTTCATTGTATTCCCCATTGTTTTTTTTATTACTTATACTTGGATGGCCCTTTTCATAAACATAAATATTCTATTAGTTATTAGTTTGTTTTTTTAAAAACTTGCTGAAGGCAAGTATTCTTCATTATTTGGTATTTTCAATTAAAAATCATAAAATATATTTTTGAATGTTTCATCAGTTGGTATTGTTTAATTTAAGAATGTAATGTCTTTATTCCAAAAGTTTTGAATTCATAAAATAAAAATGAAATACATTTTTAAAATGAATCTTCTTGATTGTTTTTCAAGATCTGGAGTCATTTCACTTGACTTTATAATTTCATCATCAACATTCTAAATATTCTTTAGGGCATGTAGCCTTTGACCTGATGTCATAGCGAAGACTCTGTGTGACTTCTTGGTTTGTCTGTGTAGAGGTTTCTGGCATCGGGGAAGGTAGTTGAGGCTTAGGTTCTCTAATGCTGGACAGTGGATGTGGTGATGTGATACTAATACGGTTTTGTTGGAATCTTTGCATAGAGCTAGGTTGGAGATCTGTTCGGTTTAAAACAGTAGAAGTTTAAGTATTGAATAGCTTTAAAAATCACAGTAAAGTGAAATAAATAATTAATTTTTGTAAACACATCTCAAAAACAAAAAGTTAAATATTAACTAAATTCATGCAAAAAAAAAAAAGAAAGATTCATCTTTATAATTTTCAATGGATTGTTGTGAGAATAAAACTAATTGCTGTCTTGAAAAAAAATCTGATTTTTTTTTAAGAAACTAAATATGAAATGGTAAGACTTTCAAATAAGAATTGGTGCATTTTAATCTTAAACAAATTGATAGGGGATAAGAAAATTGATAGTAGTGGAGTGAATTTTTTAAGTTACAGAGGATGAATTCATTTTATTATAAAATTATAATTACAATCATTTCTTAATTCAAATGAAATCCGCTTGTATCTGAGACTTAGATCTCATTTATTTGATTCTGCAGCTTTAATATTTTTTCTCAACCAGTCATGGTTCGTCTTCATTTTCATAATCCAAAACTGATGGTGCTCACAAACCAGTAGTGTCATTTTCAGCTTTAAACAAAATGCTACAATCAAAATGCTTAAGAAAATTATCACGTAAAATTTCTGATGACCCATAAAATTCATCTTATTTCTCAGGAATATATTAGGTCCAAGTGAGGACAAACTTATGTTTTCTTTACCCGGCATGTTAGATTTAACTTTATTGAAGACTTCAAATACATCAACATCACCAATAGTGGTGCAAGACACAACTTTCACAAACTGATTGCACCGATAGAATGATACAAAACACAATGTTCGCCAAATGAGTGAGACCAAAACGCCGAAAAAACTTTCAAAAAGTTTATAGCAGAACTGCATCACACAGTGCCTCAAACCACTTTGGGGGGGGGTCTGGGAAAGGTCTTATTTATATTTTATGGGTTGTGTATTTAAGTCATCTAAATATTCGTCATAGTTAATATCATTTTTGGTTTTAGCACACTAATTATCGGTTTTTATAATGCTTTCTCAACTGACCCACATTAAAGGGTCAGATTGACATATTTTATGAGATCGAAAGTAGCAACATCTGTAAAGTGATTTGTGGTTTATGGATATGGGTAAATCCGTAAAGTACCTCTTGCTCTAGGACCAGGGAAGGGATTTCTAGAAAGTGTGAAAAATGTGTGACTAGGGAGAGGGGTGAAAGATCACGTTTGAGAGTAACCTCAAGCATTTCGTACATGATTTTATTTATCTTGCGATTTTGTCTATTGGTCTGGGTCAAATATCACGGTTCAATTTTGACCCACTTCTTGATGTCCAACGGAGCTGAAACTTTTTTATCTTACCCATCCCCAATGACAATACAAATGCAGCCGTTCAAGATCAGCAGGATCAGTGACAACCATTGACCCTTGTGTGACCTCGGCGGATAAAATCTTGCAACTCAGTTTTGACCCTTTTCCTGATCTCTATTTGAGCAGAAACTCTGTATGCACTGACTAAAAAGTACAAAATGAAACATTATAAGAAAATATTTTTAAAAAAAGAACCTTGCTTTTCCAAAAAATGTACTAAAAAAGTATAAAATAAATGCCACCCACCACCTCCCCCCACAAAATTTTGCCGCCCATTTTTACAATGATATGTGACTTTTTTTTAGGTTGCTCGGTTCGTTTATTAGTTTGTGTGTGGTCAAATCTTGTATCTCAATTTTTTATATGTATTATTGTGAGCATAATTAAATGCAAATTATGATATGACAAGAATTCAAGTAAGAAAATTACTACAGGGTTGCGCTTAAAATGTAAAATTGTATTATATAGATAGGCCCTATATTCTGGGGGAGGGTGGAGAAGTGGCGTACCTTTACTATAAGCTGACCGTAGCGAACTCAAATGTTCCCACTAACAAACAGACATAATTTATATAATAATAGGTCTTAATTATTAAGATTCGGTAGTGATGTGTAGCTTTTTGTTAGTATTGGGACAGTATTTTCGCTGTGTACTGCTTCCAGTGAATGGCTTTTTAATTGGACTCACACTGTGAGGCACAGGTGTCCATTTTAAAATTGCCCCTTTCTGTTATGAGTTATCTGAAGGTGAGTTTTAAGTTGAAATAGTATGGCCATGTGCTGAGAAAGCAGCTGACATTGGCCTGAGCATGATAAAGCCAAAGACTTGAGTCTGGTCTATATCTAATATTTTGAGTTTCCAAGATGAATTAAACTTTCTAGAATCTCCCCAAATTGTTATCGTACCTAATTTTATTTCTAAATAGTGATGGGCTTATGGCTTTATGTCAGAAGAGCTTTTTAAAGAATTTCTTTTTTAAAGACTGACATCAATAATAATAATAGGTCAGTCAAAGCCAAGGCTTTCAGATCTTGTCAACTGAACGTATTATGGTTAAATGATGTTTATTTTTCCTTAATGATTGACAAGTTTGCAGCCTAGGAGTGTAAAAAGGGAAAGTTTTATCTGTAAAATGTAATGTTAAAAATAATAGTAGCAATGTTGTTTTAGTGCTTGAATCCTGTTAACAAATGAATAACTATCGTTTTCTTCTTAATATGGGCTATATTGCTATATTTTTTAGGAATTACAAACCCACTCTTCAAACATTATTAATATTATAATTATATGTAGGCCTATCGGTTATTCTGTATCAACTGTAAGGCCAGGTACAGGAGTACTCGGTGGAAGTCTATGGAATGAACCTTAAGGTGGAGGAGGGGTTGACACTTGTGTTTACCGCACCGGGTAACACCAACCCTAATGACGGAGTAGCCTGATCAAGTTAAACGAAACATAAAAATGATAATGAAGTAATTAAATGTATTATCATCTGAGCGAATAAATTTTTTGACTTAACGAGAAAGGGTTTCGTCCCTTTTTATAGTCACATGATTTTGTTGTCAAAAAGAAAATGGTACAAAACATAGCAATAGAGTTATAGTAACTGGAATTAATGAGAAATAAAATGTATTTTCAGTATTTCGTTAGTAAAATAAAAATAATTATTGTGAGGCATCAATGTGTTTAAAGCCGAATTCCTTTTATCCAATTTAAATGTAGTACTTTATATTTATTTACCCTTCCTCCTCAGTTTTTGTTAAAAAATAATGAATGACAAAAAACATAAAAAATTTAAATTATTAAAAATGTCGTTATTAATTTAACTTTAACTTCACGTCTTTGTGTTGTCCTTATAAATTTAGTATTTAGTAATTTTAACATAAATACTTAATGCTTCAAATTTAACAAGTAAGGCCTAAGCATAATAATTGGCAAAATATTGAGTTAAAAATTTAATTTAAAAAAAATAGACTTGAATTCTAACACAGAACACTAGACTACTAACAGTAAATAGCCTAAAGACGGCATCGACCCGAAATGTCTGCTAATTCTCTTGTCTTTTATTTTCAAGCCTAAAAGTACCTAGTTCGAACATTTATTTACTTCATTTGGCTTTGGCGTGAACACAGTCCCTCATCGTATGGACCAATTTGTACTGAAAAGATGCGAATTCACTTAGTGCGGAAAAAAAACTCTCCTCGCCTTTCATACACAGTAGCAGTAGTCAGACTAAGTCTTGAGTAGGCCTATCTAGCTCAGTGATGGAGAGCCCAAAAGCTTTCAAATATTATAGATTATAGGCAGTATATTTTTAAAATTGTGTGTCTATTGCTATTTCATCTATATTAATATTAAGTAGGCACTCGGAGGATAGTATAAACCCTAATTTCTTTTTTTTTTGAGTTTTCTAAATATCTTTATATAAGTAAATACTTGCAAGTGTATTTGTTTTGTTTTTTTTTCTTAAAAATTTAAAATAAGAAAATTAAACATTGCATTTTTTTGGTAAGTTTATTTTGTCCTTTAATTTTCTGTTTGCATTGACTTTTTAGAGCACAATGGATGCCTTAGGAACAAGGGATGAAATAGTTGAGCCCTCCACATTAACACGCTGGAATTTTACAAAGCTTCTTGAACAACCTAAAGAATTTGATCCAGATGAGGAGAGATCTCCTTTTCCATGGCGAAATGATCTAAATGCTAAAATTGCTTTGTGGTAGGCCTAACAGTATATAAAATTAATCATAATTTTAACATAAATTAAGCTAAGGCTAATTTCAGTGTTTATTCAATGATGTAAAAGCTTCATAAGTTAGCAGATTTTCATGGAGGCTAGTCTTTTTAAGGGTGGGCAGAAAGGGTATTATCTTGTCTAATGGTTGAGAATATAAACAGTTGAACATTTAAAAAAAAAAAAAAAAATGTTAACAACATGTATGGATTGGGTTAACTTTTGTAAACTTAATCATACAAGGCAACGATTTTTAAACAGATGCAAAGTGAATGAATAATTTACTTACTGTAGTTTATTAGGCTTGTTTTATCAACAAATTAAAATACTGATTTATTTACTCTACAACAGGAGTGGAAACATAACCAAACTAAATGTGCACGCCATTACCCACTCAACAAATGAACACATGAATGATCACAATCCACTCAGTGATGAGCTCTATCGTCAGGCCGGAGAAGGGCTTATTAAAGAGGTGCATGAAGATTTGAGAGGTGTGTGTTTTACTCTTTAAATATAACATTTCAATAAATATCATTATGTTTCATTTTAAAAAAAAATCTGTTATGAATGGAATACTAGCATCATAATTGGCACACATTTTATTTTATATAATAAAATACTTTGTTTGACTCTATATGATAAATTAAATCTTTTAGTGAAGTTGAGGAGTACATTGTAGCTTATTAAGATTCTTTTAAAAAACAAATACAACCAAAGAGAAACAAAATTAAACTCATGAAAATGTATATTTACTAGCTGTGAGAAAGCTTTTTAGACTATTTACTATAGATTGTACTTGATAAGGCAACTAGCTGATCAAAGAAGCTCTTTAAATATTAAGGGACACATTTTAAAAAATAGGGAAAAAATCATAATTATTAAAAATCTTTTATTTGGGACACTGTTATTTAATGAGACAATTGGTGAGACATTAGCGGCAAGACTATTCAGATTACAGCAGAAGCTTGCAGAATTGTAAATTTGAAGTTAAGACTTATAGTGAGATAACGGTAACTCCAATTTGGATCTACAATAAAATCTTGTATTTATTTAGAAGCATTTGAGTAAAATTCATAAAATGAAAAGGGCCATCCACAAAATTTAGTCAATCCCTGCTGGATGTGGTGTGTCCCATTTAAGCAGAATCAATTATGTTTGTTTTAAACTTTCAGTTTGCAAGACCGGTGAGGCAAAGCTTTCTAAAGGGCATAATTTACCTGCAAGATTTGTAATTCATTCTGTTGGTCCTCGATACAACATCAGATATGTAACAGCAGCAGAAAGCGCACTGTTCAGCTGCTATCGAACAATTCTACAAATTTGCAAGTTGGTAAACCCTTGAAAAATTACTTTTCGAATAATTTTTCCCTTGCAATTGGCTTATATTTCTAAAATTTCAGGGCCTACTTACAATGAATGAGATTATGATTAACCCACGAACTGTGGCAAGTATCATTCTGTGGTGTGGAGCTTTTTAGAGCGTTTTGAGTGCCATTTAAAATTGCATTAAATGACATAGAAATATTGATACAAGACCCCTATAAGTATATATTTTTAGAAAGGTAAATGGATGGGGATAACGTTGGCCATATTGCCCACCCCGTAACAAAATTTTACTCAGTGTCCTTGAATTTGAAGTTCTCAAGAAAGAAAAAATCGACAAAATGTCTTGGTTTCAAGTGCTTATACCATCATTAATTGTTATAGATACACTTAAAACATAAATCTAAATGTTGTAGCCAATTCATTTATCTTTAAGAAAATGTATAGTTTGCTGAGGTTTTGATTGCAATTAAACCCCTGAAAGCAATTTTAGTAATTTTCGGTCATTTAAAATATAAGAAACTGGGGCCACTGCTAAAACCAAGTACAAAATACAAAATCTCAGGCAAATAGTTATTATTGAATATTAAACATTTAAAAAGGAAATGTGGAACTGATTTGGGTTGTTTCACTATACAATTTATTAGTTCTGAACTATAATCTGTAGCTTCTGTGACTAAAATTCAGTCACACCTTGCCCAACCTCCGGACGGGGCTCAAAGTCTAACAGTAGCCTCAGTAGGCCTACTTTAGTACCACTAAGACGAGTATAAAATTCATGACAAGAATAAGCTCAACTGATATCGTCATAGGGAATGTTAAAATCATCACCAGTATCACTTAAAACCTCACCTGAAAAGCTTTCAAACATATTTCTATTAGTTCTTGCACTGAAGGCCCAGCCATGGCTTCAACCATTTTAGGTTTAAAATAAAAGCGATATAAAACTCCGATTAAAAAGTATTTATTTTCAAGTTATCACGAAACAGCTTGAACAGGAAGATGATTTAATTATTAATAAAAGGAAGTGGCTATAATTTTGGTTAAATATTGGATTTGAAGTGCTATCGGACCGTGTTTTTTATCGGCCGATTTTTTTGGCCGCCACAGTACAGAACGAGAAAGTCTGGCGATTTTTTCAGCCGACCACATTTCGTGGGTTAATGATATCTTTAATTCTGTTATGATATTGGGACCTGATTTAAGAAATTAAAAAATTTATATTTTTGCATTTTGAATTAGTAATTTAACTTACTTACTGTATGATGAATAATTAAAAATTAGAAAGAATAAATCATGAACAATTTAAAAAAAAATTACAATATTTTTTTTTGAAATCGCAATATATTTGTGTTAAAATGACAATAATTTTTTCTACTTACACATTTTAAAATTAACCCAGGGAAGCAGAAATCCGCACACTTGGTTTAGGTGCTATTCACACTCTGAAAAGAAATTATCCACCAGATAAAGGGGCACATATAGCAATAAGTAAGTAACTAATTTAATTCTAATCTCATCATTTAAACTGCTCTTACACAGCTCATCATTTTAACTATTCTTGCACAGAATATCTTTTTATGCATACATTTACAGTTTATTTAAGCTTATAGAGTAAAAAACCCAAAAAAAACTGTCCTACTATTAATAATAAATGTTACACTACAGTATCAGCTCATAGCATATATTAGAAATCATATTTCTTGATGTTGTGTAACATATCATATAAAAGCAAATTGAGAAGCCAGAAGAAAATCAATTTTTTAAAATGATTTACCTCAAGAGCTATGCTGTAAATGAACTTTCCTTCCTTCTAACAGGAACAGTTAGGCGTTTCCTAGAAAAATTTCCAGATTCTTTTGATCTTATAGTCTTTTCATGCACTGAGGAGAATTTAGTAAGTATTTTTATTGGAGTTTGATCTTTTTGGGGATTTTTTAAATGTAAATATGTTTACAGTGGTTGGCGTGGTTCAATTTCATTTTCTTTTTAAAAAAATAATTAAATCACTTGTTTTCTATCGATACTACTTAAATTATACAAATAAAGATGTCAATTACAAATCTGAAATAGTAAAGATATTTCAATTCAATATCCTATATATGTCCTTCAACAGGATGTATACAATGCTATATTGCCTCTGTATTTTCCACGTAACTCCAGCGAGGAAGATTACGCCTTTGATCACTTACCCAGTGATGTGGGCAATGAAGATGGAGAGCCTGTGATCAAAGAGAGACAGATTAGGATAATTGATAAACCTGCATTTGCTGCACTAAGTGAGGCCTCACTCTTACCCAGAAGTCATTTCATTTATGCCAAATGTTCCACTTAGAATAAAAATGTTTTTTTTTTAAAAGCTTAAAGTAATAACTCAAATGCTTTATTTTAAATGCATTTTATATTTTAAGATTGACAATGAATTGTTATGTAAAGGTCTAAAAGGTTAAAATTTTAGGGCAATTTATATTTGCCATATAACTAACACAAACCCTAAGCTGAACACAGATAAAGTCATTCATTGTCAGTCTCCTCTGTGAAAGCAGAGTTTTTAATACAAAATAAAACTAAAACCTTACCAATGGAACTGCCCGCCTAAGGGCAGACTGGGCCAGCAACCTGCATGACCTGAGAATCTGTCCACCTACACCTGCCCAATTATTGTTATAATAGGATGAATTTCCTTTCATCCAGTAACCTATAGATTTGGGATGGATATAATGTGGATCTACTTATCTGGCCTCCTTCCCAAAATTAAGGAGGAAAAGCCACCTTTTAAGACAGACTGCAGGTTGTCTCATTTTCCTAGAGAGATTAGGCCAAGGACAGAGAATCTGCTTGTGAGCACCCTTAAATTAAGACAGGTCATCTTAGGTTGTTCCCTGAAACCATATGAAATTGATGATGATAACTCTTTTTAAAAAAAATAACATTTTATCTTTAAATTTTATAATCCTACAACCACTGATGATTTAAAATAAATTTTGTTTGTTTCAGAAGCAGGAAATGATGAGCTTGAGCAAACGATAGACCTAAATAAAGAATTTGCCACCTCTGTGGCCATGGATGTTGGACACCATCCATTTGCCAATATGGAAGAAGACCCAGACAAAGGGAAAACCAGTAAAATGCTCAAAAATAATGCAGCTGATATTAAAAAAATGGAAGCAAAAAGAAGGTATGTCCCAATTTTTTACATACATTATGCTATGAAATTATATTAATACGTAATTTTGTTTGTTGGACAGAATCTTAATTTTTATGTATTACATTGCATTGAATAAACAAAATCAGGCTATATATTTTTTCCCTCTGCACACCTGACTTTGGTCTACTGGACTCTATGACCCTTACGGTGTCTTGACCATTCTACTCTTTTGTCATATTTTCTTTGTACTGGAGAAATAGTCATCATTTCAATTTTTATCATATATAGGGCATTTTTTTCTCATAGGGTATAAATTTGCTTTCAGGTATGAAATGTTGCTGAAAAGAGCCAAAAGCGACGACCTGACTGAGATAGCAGCGTTGCATTGTTTGTTCCGCACTGGTGTTGACCGATTTGGCCGTCCCATAGTGGTCATTGTTGGTAAAAATTATCCTGCACACACAGCTAATCCAGAAAAGGTCAGTGATCAAAATTCGAAGCAAGGAACTCAGCCTATTTCTAATTGATCCTACACTGGAATATAGATGGTCGAGATTTTTGGATGTCTTACATCCCTGCCACTTTGAGACTTTTTAGTTTTATTCATTCTTATTCCCAATTTAGCTTTGCCAATTATTCCATGATCTTTTTCTGTAAATGTAGGAAGGTCTAAAGAATAATTGAACTGTTGATGATGTCTGGGTTAACTCAGGACATGACCAACTGTTAATATTCTCTCTAGGTTAACTCCAGGGTGAGGGTAGGGAATTGACTTGACCAATTTCTTTTCTTGAAGGGGCTTGTTTCACCAGAGACATTCATCCCTTCTCTCACAGCATTTTTTTTTTCTTTAAAGTTAAAATAAAACAAAATTGTGGCTTTAAAGTAATTTAAGACATGAATATGTCTGATTGATAATTGGAACATTACCTTGACAGACTCTCCTGTACATGATACGTTTGATGGATCCGGTAGTGGAAACAGATTATGTCGTTGTTTACTTCCACACACAGACCTCAGGTAAAAACCAGCCTGCCATGGCTTATCTGAAGATGGTCTACAGTCTTCTTGATAATAGGTTGGTAGCTCTATGTGTGCTGTATTTTATACGCAGTTTTCAAAAAGTAGCTGATCTAACACTCTATGTCATCTTGGATGGGCTTTGTATAACAGAGGCCTCTGTTTGTTTCTGAATAATAGCTATGAAAATTTAGCTTGCAGTTCTCATGAAGTAAAAATAAAATTACATGCAAGTTGACAAGTGTGCTTATTTTATAGGAATTTCAAGACAGACATATAATTAATATAAACGTTTAATCATGGTTAAAATCTATTGGGCCTTGACCTTACTTTCCTGCACTAACCAGTTTCAAAAAACAATTTTACCTGAATGTAAGAAAATTTTATAAAAGGACAGAGGTATTTAAATATTTTAATTAAAAGCTAAACAATCACTCTTAAAGACAATATTGTCAATAAGGGAGTGAAGTTCCCTGGTATGTGATGGCTAATTTTTCTGCTTGAGAAATAATTTAGATGTCTTGTGTTTTAATTGTTTAAAAATTGTTTGTCTTGGTAAGAATATTTATCTATATGCTGAAAATGAATATGTACATTGTAAATAACAAAAAATTCCATTTACTTGGATCAATAAAAGAATCTTACATTATCTTATATCAGTATCTTATTATTTCTTCTTAACAGGTACAAGAAAAATCTAAAACACTTTTACATTGTTCATCCAACATGGTGGTCAAGAGTATGTTTTTTTTTGTTTTTTTTAATACTTAATAAATTATAATTAAACTCTTAATATTCTCACTCTGTAATGTATGACAATTATGAATTATATTAAGTTAATGAGATAATTTATGAATAAGCAATAATTATTATTTAGATTTAAAAATACTTGGAAGTGAAAAAAAAAAAATTAATGAATACAGATGTACACTGTTGTAAAATATGCTTTCTAGTGAATCATGAAGATGTTGAATAAATTGTAATCTGATCTTGGCAATGAAAATCAAGACTATTTTGATAAGAACTAAATATGAACACACCACATCTTATCTCCATTAGTCCTCTGCTATTTTGTTTCATAATTCACAGTCTCTAAAAAAAAGCAGAGATAAAAGAAGCTTTTTAAACTTCTTTAAAATTTGTCATTTTTTTCCTTTCAAGTATGTTTCAACCATCAAATGTGTAATGATTGATATCAGTTGATCTATTTATTTTCACACTCAATAACATTTGACTTTTCCCAGCTGGCCACCTGGTTCTTCACAACTTTTGCTGCCTCCGACATCAAACACAAAGTTCATAACATGAAGGGGGTTCAGTACCTGTACACCAAGATGAACCCAGACCAGATTGATGTGCCCCAGTTTGTACTTGAACACGACATCAAGGTGATGCACTTTTATTGATTTATTAAATAAATGAATTAAAAAAATCCTCTGGCTTCTAAAAAACTGTCTTTCATATTTTATTACATTAAATTAAATGTTATTAGTATTAAAAAAAATTCAACTTATTTTAAAATTTATAATTTTGTGAAAACTTATTTTGTACCAAGTTTATGGTATAATATATTTAAATTAGTTTTTTTTTAATTGTTTAGGATTTTTTTTTGGCACCTTGTGTAACAGATTTATTTGCTATTTAAGATTTGTTTTTGATCTCACAAATAATGAGAATTTCATTTTTAATGTCTTGTTTAAAACATTGGTACCGTAATTACAGTTTTAATGTAATGGAATATATTCCTACCATGAAGAATCTAATTTTTTTTCTTCGTTCCTCTTGATCAGGTGAATGGTGCCCGCTATGTTGTATCAGATTCAGAAACACAAGATGGCCTTTGATCAATGATTGTCCTACTGAGTTTAGGATCTGAACAGATTAGGTTAGTTTATAAATAAATCATGATTCGAATGGGACTGGCACATATTGCAGTACAAAGTAATTAGCCTAAAAATGTTCATTCAAGTTGAAACAGACCATGAAAGATTCTAAATTGTGTTTAATCCAGAAAGATAAATAATGTTGAGCTTCCAAGGGATTATAATTCTTATAGCTTTCTATAAAGCTGAATGAGACACACCAAACATAAAAACGGGTTGGGCTTAGATACAAATTCTGTCGTAGCCAATGTGAAGGTCAGTAAGTAGATTAATTGGATTTTGGAGGTAGAAAAAAAATGCTACTTATTAGCATAGGGAGTTTTGTTCTTAAGTCCCACTGTTTTTTTTTTTTGGTGTTAGTTTATTCTGTAGAGATGATCCTGTGTTCCAGTTCTAGTCATAGTGGGAATATAAGAAATTGAAATACTGTAAAATAAATGAGAAACTTCTGATCATTTTTTTCTTACAATACATTGAGCAATCAGGCCAACGAAATTGTATATGCTTTGTACATGTATAAAATTATGGTGATTTTTTTTTCAAGAGCAACCACTGTTGTTTTTTCAAGTATGGTAGCTTCTTCATTACAGGCCCTTAAATGGGTGCTCACGAAAGACTACAAGGAAGGAAGTTATTATTGAGTGACATTTTTGTCACATACTGGAATCATTTTAGAAACTCTGATTAGAAAAATGTTGCTTATGTAATCTACCACACAGTTAGTAGGAAAATATGTCTACCTTCGTAAACCCGTATGGAAATGTTGAACAAGTTAAAAATGTAACAATTTGTCAGTGGCATTTTTTAAATGTGTGGCTATTTTCCAATGTTGTGTTTGTCTGGCCTTCGTTTTTTTTATTATCCTATTTTTTTTATAGTAAGATGTGGCTCCTGAAGGGAAGAGAAAGAAATACAAATTTTAAATTCAAGTTTTATTTAATTCAATTTTAGTTGTTTTAAGTATTTGTTAAGCCAACTGTAACATTGTTTATTTAGATTTTTTAATTTTTCGTTATACGTGTTAATGTTTGCCGATACAGCAAATTTTTCAAAGGAGTTATCCACCTTGAAAATCTGTCCCCCCATATTTGGCGATTGGTCAACATGAGAATTTTGTTTGATTGGATTGACTCTATGTGTGTCATAGGTATAAGATAATGTAAAAAAAATAAAATGGAACTACAAATTCTATAATTTGTTGGACAAACGATTTGCTTATAAGTTAGAGAGCATCTCATTTGGAGATTTGATAAATTATGTCTTTATTAACATTAAAAAAAAAAAAGATAACAACTCAAGATGTAAGTCCCTCTCTTTTCATTGCTTGTTAACATAACGGTTAATTTTTTTGAGACCTTATCATAAAGTGTAGTAGGAATTGAATCTATTAACAAAGGCAATTAATACATCCCAATTCGCCTCAACTTGATCACATATATCTACACAGCAGACCTGTTGGCAGCAAGTGGAATGCCCACAGTAGCTTTTTAGAAAGCTTTGCCATCTTCTTTTGAGACATATGAGAATATTATTAAATATACAGGTTGTGAACTCTCAGATTGAAAAAAAATTGGTTTGTGGTTGAAAATTCTCTGCCCATTTTGTCTGGATTATAATTAAAGTTACAAAGAGAACTCCAGCCTTGACTTTTCTAGCTTTAAAGACCAATTAAATGCCCTAGTGTATGGTTTCTTTCATCAGGATTCAATGCCATTTCAACCATTATTATTATGTTAACCTTTTCTCTGCAAATATCACTTGATAGATGTCCCTTTGATTTATCAATGTCCCTTTGATTTATCAATGTCCCTGTGACTATTGGCTGACTTTGTTTATCTTTTGGTGGAACCATTTTTGTAATGCCCCTAAGTCTCTGATTTTGTTCAAGGTTTCTGTCATGTGGATTCAATTCCATATCACACAGTATTATGTTATCTTTGTACCGCAAAATATCACTTTATCAATGTCCCTTTGATTTAGTGGCTGAATTCGTCTATCTTTGGAGGGAAGCACTTTGATGACACCCCTTTAGTCTCAGATCTTTTTAAAAATGTAATTTGTTTCCTCAAAAATATTCAAAGGCCATCTTACGAATATGCTCAATATTTCTACTGTTGCCCTAACCCAAAGACAAGAACACTGAAATCCCTACTGGTCTGTTGACGCTTTTCTTACATTCAGTCCATCAGATCAATGAGGTTACTGTATAAACGTTGCTGTGATTTTGTTGGTTCTTTCTGGTTTAATGTTTAATTAACAGGCATGTTAAACTTGACAAGCCTACCGGTAAAAGTTAATTCAAATGGCAATTTAATTATTAATTTTTCTAAATTGAAATTTTTATATATGTATATTAATTCTGTAAAAAAAAACATCAGTTCCTTACATATCTTTTGAATAATTTCAAGCACGTAAAAAAAATTCAGATAATTAAAATAAGATAAATAAAATAATTGTCGTCTTCGTGTGAAATTAAAATTGCACAGTTTACTTTTTTTTTAAAAGATGTTAACAATTTCTATTTTGTTCTTATTGTTTATGTTGGTTTTCAATTTTTTAAAATATTTTCTTATTTTTATTTTTACAATTTTTTTTCATACATCCCTAATTTTGTTTCCCTTTATCTGAGTGTAATTTTTTTTCTACCATTTGTATAAAAACAAACAGGATTGTGCAATTATTGAATCAATAATAAACAGGTGGTGTGGTTCTATTTAAGTTTTCTAATTATTAAATTATGTAAACAAATGGCTCTATATTGTGTGTTTTTTTATATTTATGTGGAGTGTTCTTCTTTTATATGAATATGCTGTTATTAATTTATTAATTGTTCACCTATTTTTGTTTCAAATTGAAAATTGTATTTTGTAAAATGACATAAAGCTGGTTTAGAGTAAATTGATATTTCTATGCTGATCTTGAACAGGATCATATCAGTTTATTTGTTTTTGTACAAATTAAACAGGCCAGATCTTATTCTAGGGAATCAATAATTGAATAATTGAACTGCTATAATTCAGAAAGGTAAACAAGAAACAAAGAGTCTATTCTTTTAAAAATCTTGTTGCAGGGACACACCTCAGGTGATGACGATTGTCCTGCATGTTTTTGTTGTTGTTGTTTTTTTAAAAGAGAGAAATAGTACTTAATAAAATCTGATGAAACAATTGTTATAAAGGTGTATTTTGTAAGAGGCGTCTTTTTGTTTTATTTCATTATATTGCTCTAAATCATAAAATATTTATTTGAAACTTAGATCGATTCATGTTAATTTTATTGTCCTTCTGTTTGGATTCTTCAATTATGAGATTTATGCAGTGGCATATGAAGAAGTGTGTTATTATGACATGCTGTGTGTTATCCTGACATTTAGACATCAATTAGACAAATGGCATCAGAGCAGTGCTCTTTAATCTAATGATGGGCTTGAGAGAAAATCTGTTCATTTCAAATCCAAATGGGATCTTTTGAAAATATTATTCAAGTGGGTCGAAACTAATTTTTAAAAAAGTGGTAAGTTATATTTTAAATATTTCACTGGCAGATGTAGGGAAAAAAAATTACATGTGAATTACACATGGAGGCTGGGGGGGGGGGACCAATTGTTAAGAATTTTAAAAAATATATTAAGTGGAGCTAGTGGGTGATGGAGGGGGCAAATGACCAATAGCCACCATCTCTATATCTGCCACCATGTTTATATTGTAGCTATAGTTCCAATTTTCTAGTGATAACTAGAATTCTATGAATTCTTTATCCTTCTGTTATTATGATTGCATATCACTGATGCATATTACATTTGGGCTTGCTGGATTACTTCCAGCTTCCCTAGTTTTGTCTATTTCCTTTATCCAATTGTTACTGTGACCTGGCAAGAACTTTTTTTGTATCCTCTCTACCCAGGTGTGAGCTTGGAGTTATTATTTTTTTTTATAACAGCAGGGGTCGAGTATGATGAAGAGTTGGTGTTTATTATAGTATTCAGGGGTTGGGGTGAGGGGGTGGGTGGGTGGGGTTTGGAGGACAAGGCTGGATCAGGAAATGAAATTTCTATCTTCTTGTGTCATTGTGAGCAATAGTTATTATTTATCTGATTGTTTTGTATTCGTACACAAGTCATGAAAAACAAACAAATAAATGTTAGTTTTGTATTCAACCTCGTTACAGTGATTTTTGTGTTATGTATCACCTCGTTACAGTGATTCTCATGTTATGTTTTGTTTCCACCTCATTACAGTGATTCTTATGTTTGTTTAGTAACCACTTCATTGCAGTGATTCTTATCTAGATGATTTATCCACCCATTACAGTGATTCTCATTCATTTCGTATCGATATGATTACATTGATTCTCATGTTTGCATATCAAAAGATAGGCAGAAAAGTTATTTTATTCCTGTGTCCATGACACAAATGTTGGCATTGTTGAGTGTAACCAAAAACTATAGTTTCCTTTTTCCTCTTAGCAGATAACTTTGAGTTAATGTAGTGCCATTCTGCACTGTTAACATTTTATTGCGATGGATATGTCAAACAAAATGCACATTTAAAAAAAACAAAAAAAAACCCCAAAAAAAAACACTTTTGAGAGTCAGACTTTTATTTTTTTCAAAATGTGATTGCCCCCGCCCCCCTCCTCTCTCTCCACCCTTCCTCTGTTCTGGAGGCTGACACAGGGCCGTGCAAACGGCTGCTTTTTTCCACGACTCTGCGCTACACTTGGTGTTGATTCAAGTTTATATAATGTGTACCCATCTCCATCTGGCCCAGAGGCTTAGATCTATCCAATGCAATGCATACAGCATTTTATACAGACAGTGACTTGGAAAAATTAATGTCTTAACTCTTCCCATGGCCTTGATGATAGTCACAGAAAAGTCTCTCCTCCAGTGGCATAGCTAGGTTTAAGGGCGCCCTGGGTGGGTCAGTATTTTGTGTCCCCCTCCCCACTTCCGTGAAAAACTATGCGGTTGGACGACAATGACACCCCTCCATATAAATGAAAAAAGTGCCGCCCCTCCACACCCACTTGCTACGCCACTGCTCATCTCAATGTGACGTGCAATGGAAAGTGCTTCAGCTACTTAATATAATGGCGTGAGTGAGTATTCACAACTAAACTCAACCTGAATTGTTTACTTTGCAAGTAAAACAGAAATAGAGAGAGGGATGCGAGGTGGCATTTCATGGGGTTCGGGATAATACTTGAGGAGATACGAGGAAGAGGGATTATAGGAAGAAAGGAGAAATTCTCTTTTAATTAATGAGATAGACTCTTTTGTTAATTTCTTCTTTAATATTTTACTTCATGTTATGAGTCACAAGTTAATTTTTTTCAAGTTCTATAGTTCGCTTGAAATTCAATAGAATAAATTAGAATATTATTTCCATTATTTTCGCACTCTAAATTAATAGCTACTTTTGGAAAGAAAGCGACAATAGTCAAATATTTGAAAGGGGCGACTCACGCTTCTAGGAGATGAACCCGTTTAGAGGCATCATGCTTTACATAATATTTTTTAATGAATATTGAAAAATTTTGGAAATTTAATTTGATTAAAAGTCAGTGGACAAGACGTTTCCCAATGTTAACCCACGATATTATCGGCACATTCCATAATTAATATTATAGATGCGAATCATGAGTTGGATAGATACTTCTTAAAGGGGAATTACTCTCGTCAACAAGTTTTTCTTCTGGCAGATTTGAATGATTGAATCAAAAAAAAAAAAAGGAAAATAAAGTAAGAATTTGTGTTTACAATTACAATCATATTACAATATTAGACTAAGATGTTAGCCCCGGGCGGTAATAACCCTAGCTACACCACTGTTCAGTATTAAAATTAGTTGAGAACAACAGTGCCGTGTTGAGGCATCGGCATACTGGGCACTTGCCCAGCCAGGGTCTCGCGCCTCTAGGTGGCCTCATTCATGCTTGAGGTAGCCTCATTCATGCTTGAGGTGGCCTCATAGCTCTAAGAGCTTCTTAGGTGGCCTCATGCTTGAAGGGGCCTCATAGCTCTAAGAGCCTCTTAGTAAGAGCCCTCCAAGGTTTCTTTCAGGCATCTAATCTCTTGGGGGGGGGGGGGAATTCAAGTGCCACCCAGGGCAAAATGGGTAAAAACTATAGAAGTAGAAGGATTAAATATTGTTACAATTAAAAACAACTAAATTGTCATTTTAAACATTTTTAAAAAGATGACTATCTGGTGCCTTTATCCGATTACAATTAGTGGAATCTAATAAATATCACTGCGCTCGAAATAAGGCTAATATTAATATCTTGTTAAAGTAAGGCTTACACAGTATTCGATTATAAATTATAAATATCACACTGGCTGCTCCTGATAATAAGCCCAAGTCTTAATTCCCGTTGTTCGCAAATATCGATATTTTTATTCATTTATTTTTTGCAAATTCAAAAATTTCAAGACTCTAATTTTAATAACACTGTATTAAAATACCTTAAGACGATTTTGCCGCCCCCTGATATTGCCGCCAGGACTGATTGGCATTCTTGCCCTCTCCTTCGCATGGCCCTGAGTATATAGAGGGTTAAAGGCTTCAGTGTATTACTCTGCCCAGGGCATCCGCTGCTGTAAAGACGGCCCTGGTGCGAAGCAAAATAAACGGTTGGGAAACACCGAAATGAAGTCCCAAAAATTTTAAAGGGGGCCAAACTACGTAATCTCTATATGCAACGATATTCCAAGGGTTGTCTCACTTGTGATAATAGGCTTAATGCAAAAAATAAGCATTGGCGTCAATGGGAGTTGAACGTGGGTTATGACTGCCATGACAACGTGAAAAGACGTTGTCAAAATCAAATAGTTAAGTATTAAGCCTACTACAATGGACTATTGATTATGCATGTGCGCGTATGAAGAGGCGTAGGTTGTGAAATTTAGTGTGTTTTCCTAAAATACAGCGTGTTATCATGACATACACTGTGTTTTCGTGACACATAGTGTGGTATCGTGAAATGCAGTGCGTTATCATCAGTGTGTTATCATGACATGCGTTGCGTAAATTCCTCGTCCGTGACCCACTCATCCATAAAGGATTTGTCCAAACCATCCAGTTTGTAAAGTTGTGTCAATCCTAGCTAACACCCCACGAGCACTGTCAGTCAGCTGTTTGCTCAGGTACGGCTTCCAACTGTTACATCAAAGCGTCACTCTCAAATCCACAGAAATTCTGTGTGCACACATATTACATGAGGATACAACCCAATTATGCATCGCTTTATGTCCACACATTTTTTTTTTAAAAGGGTAAAATTGTGATTTACTCTTCGGCAGGGATTCTCGGGCTGTGAGAAGTCAGATAACACCACCAGGAGGGGTGTGGTAAACAAAAGCTACGGTCTTTTATTTAAAA